TCATTATAAATATGTCTTCAGCCACGGTCAGCTTGTGGAAAACCTGGACCAGAGGACAGTCTTGCTGCTATAGTGCTGGGTAAGGGATGTGTCTATGTTAGAGAAAGTTTGGGATGGAGAGGGCAGTTATGGTGGAACTGGTTGAAGTATGCACTTAGGGTAGAACTTGGGAAGGCTGGAATTCTCATCCCTACCTCTGACAGTGACCACTTCAGGGACTTTGGTGTTGAGATGCAAGAGGACTCAATTCCCCCACTTATAGACCAAACAAACAGCCAGAGAAATGGGAAAATGACCTCCTTTTAAAGTGACAAAAGCTAGATTTGAGCTTAAATGTGCAAGCAACATGGCCCTATCAGTACTGAACCCAGAATTAGACAAATCACCTCCACTGTCCCCTGTCAGAAGTGCAACTGGATAGCTGTGGACTTTTCCGCAGGGAAGAGCTTAACCTGAAAAATTGGGGCAAAAGAGAAGCAGTGCTGAATGCATATGACCCATGATGATCCCGAAGTGAAAGATGAGTTGAGGGGCTAAATCCAATTCCTAGTTCCTCTCCCTGTCATTAACCATGCTAAGGGCATTCCAAGCATCAGGAATGGTATGGAGGTATAACCGACCACTTGTGTTTAGGAATTTTGTGTATAAGAGCTGCCGCCATGGGTCTGTGTTCCAATAGGGTCAAAGTGTGCAGAGGAAAGATGAGGGGCAAAGGACAGGGAAGCTGGGCCAGGTAACCAGCCTCCAGTCAAAAGAACACACCACAATAAAATGGTTCAGTCGGCACTATGGGGTGTAGAACTAAGCTAAAATCATCTATGATTTAGAAAAATTTTAGAAAAACAGAAAAACAAGAACTACTCCTTTTATATCTGGTCCTATGAAACACTGGGAAGTGTGCTGAGCCTGAGAAGTGAATTTAGAAGCTTGTTTCACTTCACTTAGATTCACAACAACTGCTGCTGAAGCTGTAACCCAGACTCGAAAGATGAAAAATGTCCTCTGTCAGGCACAGGCATATGTTAGCGGTTTGAATCATATGTCATAGGTGACTCAAGTAATCATGAACGCGAAATGAAAAAACAAACAGTTGTGTTGTATAATGTGTTTTCTGTTTATCTTTCTTGGGAGATACATAGTAAAAAAAAGACAGATAGAAACGGATCTATCATAGTTGTCAACAGAGCCAATACATTTGTCGGAAGAACTGGAAGAAGTGTGTATTCTAAGTTGTTCCTGTAAATTGTACCCCAGGTATGCTGATTATTTTGCATTATTAGTTCTATGCAGCCAAAGGGAAGATTCGTTCTTTTGTGTTAAATTGTTATGTTCACAGTGTGAGAGGGAAGAGAAAAGTATAAGATTGCATTCTTATTACCTATGAGAATATAGCTTCCTCCTACTCTTATATTTTCTAGTCATTATATATATAATTCTCTATTCCCCTCCAGTGCAATACTCAAAGATGTCAAAGTTTATTTCATACACAGCAAATCTTAAGATGAATAATGGCGTCGAATGTATTGTAATTTCAAATACTTTGTGTAATAGTTAATTATTCTCTAGGGTACTCCCGTGAAGGGATGAGTTAAATATCTTTATATAATGGAATAAAAATGAGACAAAAGGGTTGTTTTGTTTTTTTTTTAAGACCTCAACAGATTCTTTTTTTTTAAGATTTATTAATTTATTTATACAAGCACTGGGTACAGTCAGAAGCGCGGCAGGGTGAGAGAATTCACCAGAACCAGAGCGGGGAGCAGAGCAGACAGACTGACGAAATACACTGCTGAGGGGAGCAGTGGGCGGCAGGAGAGGTCTGAGCGCCATGTGGGACCCTCCAACGGTGGCCGGGGAGCAGCCGGGGATCGAACCGGCGCTGCAGAGGCCGCGGGCAGCTTTGCAACCCAGCGCTCAACTGCTGCGCCACCGGGGAGGCCCGAGACAAAAGGGTTTGAACTACAATGAGTCCTGTCCCGTTCTAGTCACGATCATGGATGGATTGAATATTGTGTTATCTGCATGCTATCGCTCATTTAGACATAAAGAAAATAATTTGGTCATTCATGAAGATGCCTGTTGAGGTTTGAATGTGAGGTTAGTGTCTGTTCTCTTTGTGCTTCTATATAACTTCTCCTTCCCTCTTGAAACTTTCAGATCCTTTAGCAGTTCACATTGGACTAATACCTCTTTCTTCTAGAGGGCACCTACAAGCTTCGCTGCCCCTTCCCCTTTCTCATAGGTTTCAATATGTGAATCTCTGCCGCCTTCTCTACTCCTGTATCTAACATTTTTATTGGCAATGCGAATGTCCTTGTGAAGAACTCATCCCTCCAGTGACTTCACAGGTCCTTGGCCTATTTCATTTTCGGTGTCCTTTCCCCTGTCTTACGACAGCTACCTATGCCCAGGTTGTGCTCTTATCCTTGTTACCGCTAACAACTGTGCTCCTCTCCCGATTTTCCTATTCATTTCTTTAAACTCAACGCTCTTCTTTCTTTCTCCTTCCCACTCCAGCTGTGTTTTGATCAGATCAAGTTCTCTCAATCATCAGTCTTGAATCTGGCTCATTCTTCATGATGTCCTGTTCCCCCTTATTCAGCTGATATTTCCTGTCAGATCATTTTAGATAGATAGATAGATAGATAGATAGATAGATAGATAGATAGATAGATAGATAGATAGATAGACAACCCCCCCCCATTTTACTTTCATCCTAAAGAACTCTAACTCTTGTTACCCAGCTAGCTCTTATTTCACATTGATAACTGAACAAGTCCGGAGAAAAAGCATGTACTTCTATTGAATAATTCCAATTTAAATTCATGACCACATATCCTTACTGGGTATTCATACTGCTTGGTTATCTTTATACTTAAATAAATGCTTATTTCCCATACTCCAAAATGACACTATATCTTAATTTTATATTTCGTTAAATTGCCAATCTTCATCCCAAGATGCAAATAACCCCCTGTGCACCCATTTGTCATGCTCTCCATTCTATTAGATGACCCATGACTGCTTCCATCAAAGTTAGGATTTGGTGCATGCTCTGGAAATCATGCTTTCCTACTCCAGATTCTTTTCCTGGTGCCATATGGACAGAAGCTTCTCTACCCATCCAGAAAATAAGATTGATTTTCTTTTCAATTTAAACTCAACAAGGGTTGAGGGGTCAATACAGTTTTAGAAACCTGCCTTTACTTCAATCTGCGAAATTTCAAATCTTCAATCTTGAAAACTATTCTAATTCCATCTCTGTTTACAAATATTAACCAAGGAACTGTAATAGTAATCCTTTATGTCAAGACCCACTTTTTAAGAAAAAGCTTTTTAAAAAGCAGTTGATTAGTTTTTAGAGGCTTCTAATCAAATCATATACAAATATGCCACAATAATGATTTTTTTTCTATCTCAAGACTAAAACATAAATGTTAAGGTTTAAATTTAAAAATGTTAATATATATTTAAATACAATTTTAGATTATTTTCTATGGCATTGTCTAGTTTACATATATATATTTATTATTATATATGTATTTCCATAAATCATACTGATACTTTCATTTATAACTTTGATTTTTTTTTAACTCTGAACACCGAGGTGGAAAATAAATCCTAGAAACATAAATCTATAAAACCTGAATAATTTTTTAAAATTATTTTTTAACTAAAGAATGAATCAACTAAAAATTTTGTCAACCAAATTTCAATTTAGAGCAATTTTTCAAAACAGCCGTAAGACTCATGTGCCCTTATTAAAAATCAGATCCTATAAGGAATTTGCTTAATAAGTATAAAAACACCCTGTGCTAGCAAATGTCTCTTACTATTTGTTAATGTATATTTCTCAACATCTCATTTTTATGGCAAAAAAATCCTATGAGATTATTTATTTATACTACAAACAGGACAAATTATCTTCCACCCTAAAGACTGGGTTTTCCTGCCCAACAGGAATGACAATGCATGCTGATTTCATAAAATGACAAACCCCAAGTTAAAGGAAAAACACATTTTCAAAGAGCTTTATTTCATAACATTTCTATTGTGAAAAGTATGCTTAACCAATGTTGCTTATCTAAGGATGTTAATCCATATTACTCCACTGGTGAAATAAAATGAATGCAATCCTTTCAAGCAAACCATTCATTTAAGAATCCACAATTGTGAATTTGTTATACAAAATTTATCATTTTTGAAAAAATAAATCAAATATCATTAGGATCAAGCAGTTGAAACAAAGATGCAGAACCAGGCAATTTATAAAGTCATGTTAATAGTAATCTTTCATTTTTACAAATATTTGAGTTTTTAACTCAAATACTACTGTACATGATATTAAAATATGTTTTCTAACTCAGAAGTAATTTCCAAGTGATGAAGGTATGACGTTAGTAAAAAGAAAGTTTGCAGTACTAAAAAAATTTAGTATGTGTTATACTAAAGACTGAGAATTAAATTAAGTGAAATTAGACTCTTAAGCATTGGCCTTTACTTTCTAATACTAAAAGTATTTTCTAATACTAAAACAAAAAAAGGTTTTCCTATTCCTAAAGAGTTCTTTACAAAATGTATTTCATAATGTTCAATGTTTAATTTTCTAATGTTTTTCAGCTTATAGAAAACAAATACTACAATTATTTGAAGTATTCTTAGATATTAAGGTACCAAACTTTTATATCTGGACTAAATATTGCTCTGATACATGACTCTATATTCTCCCTTTACAGTCATTCTATCGTTTGATATTTTTCCAAGTCATTAGTTCTCCATTTCTTTCTTTTAATCATAACCTTTAATATCCAGTGAAACCATATTATTTCTCATCTGAATGCTAATAAACCACCTTTTGAAGCTGCTTTAACTATGGCTGCACATCCAGGAGGTCATAATGAAGATGATGGAGATAATAATAGTCTCTGTCATCACCACCATTGGTAACAATCACAACTTCCTCAGGTCTCAGCATATTTCCTGCTCCTTACTGCACAGGACTTTAGGAAGAGAGAGCAAGAATTGAGTCTAGCCCCAGCAAATCCTGGTTAGCTGTCGTCCAGCCTCCTGATGCCACTCACCATGTTCACAAGTACCCATCACTTTAATTGTCAAATGCTTCTCCTTGATCTTTCATGTGCTTTTGTCAGAAAAAAAAAATGAACATTTGAATATATATTCAGTTTAAAGTGGAGTCAGTTTTATTTCATTTTGAAATGGGATGTTAACCAGATGTTGGTTGTGATAATTCTAGAAATTCTCACTCCGAAGATGTTGCCATAGGGAAAGGATCAACTCTTAGAGGAATCGAGGCAGTCATCAATTTTTTTCTTTTAGATTCATCCTTGGTTTGCAGAAGAGATGAGAGCTGCAGCTGCAGGTGAGGCAGCGTTCCTTCATTTAAAAGAAATACTTGGCAGCTTTAAAGTGTCCACAGCTGCTGGAAGCTGTGCTTCGCATATTTACGTCTTTGTTTTGCATGCTACCCCTGCTCATGGATTCAACGAGATAATTTACAAGAAGAATTTATAAGGAAATAAGTTGTTTTATAATATTAGTTTTCAAAATTTGGGAAGTATGATTTTTTTTCTGAGTTTCTCATCTTTCCTGAACCAGACTCTGTCCCTTGAATAATTCAGGGGATTCTATTTAATTGGTATCCTGATAAATGTCATGACCTCTTAATTGGGAAGATAGCAGATAAAAAGATTTAGTTTAATACTTTTCAATTAATTTACACTATTGTTACCGCAGAACAACTTACTAATTTAAGCAGAGAAGAGAAAAGCCCACCTGTCACTATAAATGTTCTAAAAATCTGTTTCTAGTCGTTTATGGCACTAAATTAATGTTTGCTCATCTACATTTTGCTTTTTTAAATTCCCAAATTTTATACTATTCTAATGGCATGGAAGTTAGAGTACCTGCATGTTGTTTTTAATGTCACTTAATTATTTCATTCCAAATAATTAGAACATGTTCACTGTATTTTTCTACATTAAAGAGAATAGTTTCTGTTTTTCTTGAACTATTGCTAGCTTTATGATAGTTATGTAAACGAAAAAGATTATTTAAGTATAGAAAATGCTGGGCCTCCCTGGTGGCGCAGCGGTTGAGCGCTGGGTTGCAAAGCTGCCCGCTGCCTCTACAGCATGGGTTTGATCCCTGGCTGGTCCCCTGCCACCAGAGGAGGGTCCCACACGTCGCCAGACCTCTCCTGCCTCCCGCTGCTCCCCTCAGCAGTGTACTTCGGTCCTTCTGCCTGCTCTGCTCCCTGCTCTGGCTCTGGTGAATTCTCACCCTCCTGCGCTTCTGACTGTACCCAGTGCTTGTATAAACAAACAAACAAACAAATAAATAAATAAAAATACATGCCTCTATAAAAAAAGAAATTTAAATAAAAAAATTAAAAATTAAAAAAAAAATTTAAAAAGTATAGAAAATGCTGAAAGGATTCATGTGTCTCTTTGCTAGCATTATGGGACAGAAATTATTTTTGTTCTTATTTTTTATTTGAGAAGCATGAGGCACCAGTAGGTAAATAATCTGCAGGTGGTGACATAGGTGATGAATTAAAAAACAAGGATTCTAAACCAAGTTTTCTGATTCCTGATGCCTCCTACTTAAATCACTGTGCTGTAGCAGCTCTGTCTTTGGCAACAGAGGTGTATGTGAGGTGGCCTGAAATGGACGAAATGACAACATTCTTGATATAGGTGCACTTGATTTGAGGGTGAAACTATTGTTTCTCATAGGCAGTCTGATTGTTTCTGTGGGAAATATTATAGCTTTTCTAATGAGTTATCGATAATTTATTTCATTTTTCTCCTTTCGGTGCAGATTATGAGTTTGATGGTACCTGCTGATACTGTGTTTAGTCACTGTGATTTCTAAATCTTAAGGCAATAGTCAGGCTTTTCCCATGTCTATATATCCTGCATAAATTTCTTTCTTTCAATTTCTAGTTCATACATATCTTCAGAAGACTAAACAAGAATATATAAAGCAACTAGAAAAGTGTGTCACAAAGTGGGTACTGAGTAAATGTTACTTCTCTTTTGTTCCCTGCTCCCTGAAGCTATACTTCTAACTCTGGTGACTGACAATTTTATGCAACTGCTATGAAATGTGAGGGGAACTGAAAATGTCAGTCTAACTCATGGGGAGTTAATTATCTTCACAATTGTATTTCAGACCCCAAATATGTGATTTGCAAATATGTTTCTAAGACACAGTAAAACAGAAGGAATCTTATTTGCATATTATTTTGCTAATCATTGGTATTTGTCTCTAGCTGCAGTGGGCTACCTTATTTCTATGATTCAAAACTGTATTTAAAGCAAGCTTTTGCTCAGTCACTGATGATAGTGTAGTTTCACAACTGAAGAAACCAAACCTTTGTATAACAGGTCATGCTTTGTTCATATATGTTCCTATTCTCAATGCCATCTTCAATATGCTTAACATATGCTGTGTGTAATATTAAAATGCCTTTATGACCTCATTTTTAAATGTACTTAAGCAGTGCTATTAATCTTATGAAATATAATAAATTGTCACTCATTTGAGTAGATGTCTAATTATTCTCATTTTAAAGATGGAGAATCTGATGCACAGTGATTGATTTTTTTGAGGTCACATGGATTCTGTCACTTGTTAGATCAAAGTATTTGTGAGATATTTTGAATTTCTCCAAAAAAATAAAATCACTGGGTTTTGTTATCATAGAAAAAATGTATAAATTAAAAAATATTGTTGCTCAACTCTGAGTTGTGCTTACATGCAAATGTGCTTTCCATGAAGTAAACTTGTGTATATTTAAAAATAATCTAACACCATCCACTTAATTATACAACTTGATCAAGTAAGGCATTTTCAAACCTAAATCACTTTAATTCTCTAATTCCTCTTGCAAATATACCAGTAATGATTAAAAATAATAGAAGCCATGTTATTTTATTAATTATATTATAATAAATAACAATTAAAATCAATAATGTTAATCATACTAGAATTATACTCTGTGTATATATCTGTATTAGGCAATTGTGATTATTTAATTTTATTTTGCCACATAATATATATTCATTATCCACTTTGATAAATTGTATGACTTTTTTCTTTTTTTTTTTTTTAAAGATTTATTTATTTATTTATACAAGCACTGGGTACAGTCAGAAGCGCAGGAGGGTGAGAGAATTCACCGGAGCCAGAGCAGGGAGCAGAGCAGGCAGAAGGGCCAAAGTACACTGCTGAGGGAGCAGCAGGAGAGGTCTGTGAGCCATGTGGGACACTCGCCCGGTGGCCGGGGATCAAACCCATGCTGCAGAGGCTGCGGGCAGGTTCGCAACCCAGCGCTCAACCGCTGTGCCCCCAGACTTTTTTTCTGAGGATCTATTAGGCTACCCCTCCACTCTGGATGGAGATGACACTTCCAGCTCTAAGAGTAGAGTAGATCGCCCAAGCTCAGCTAAATATATTCCCTAATCTTGCAATGGGGTCAGTAGTAGATCCCTTCAGGGTCTGGAATTTTACTTTTTGGAAAAAAATCCAGACAAAGAGCAGTTAGGGCCTCAAACTCTTGCCATAACCAGCAAGATGATGGAGAGTAAGAGACTCGGTGCAAAGTGTCTCCCAACAGATAAATAATCTCAAACAGTCCAATCTAGGAGAATCATATTTTCTCTTTCCCCTGAAATTTGCACCTGGAAAAATATCATGTTTCAATTTCTACAGCTATCTTGTAATTACAAAGAAATAGCCAGTCTGAGAATGGAGCCAACTTGGCAGAAGACAGAGATGTGCCAGAGACAATAAAATGGATCGATTTTACTCCAAAATCAGGTATTCCTCAAGGCTTTTCAGTTATGTAAACTAGTTGGGTTTTCATCCACTCACAACTAGGAGATTTCTAACTGGTTTGATATTTGACATAAAATTGCCTCCTATAAAGGAGGTATTCTTATCCTAATCATATAGATCAGGAAAATGTGCATCATGGAGATTAACTTGCTTAATATCACACAACAGATAAATTAGAACTATGTTCGTGCTCTTAACACTTGAACTATTCTTAAATTATAGTGTACTTTAGAAACACCACAGCTCACTCTGTATCTAATGAATCAAGATCTCTATGGTGGAGCACAGAGAATTTGCTGTTAGTAAGTTCCTGGGTGATTCTGATGCAGGCCACTTGTTATGGAGCACCCGTTAAGAAATACTTGCCATTGGAGATATCATGTCAGCGATACTGCTGTCTGATACTCTGATACGGTGTCTTTATTAAAAAGTCTTGCTTCTTGAAGGATAACACTTAAACATTGTCAGTAATGTAACCTATGAATCAAAGGAAAATCTTGTCTTAGATAAGCTCTAGTGGATAGTGGTAAAAGTCAGAAAACAAAGTCCCGAGCTACGGAGAGAATCTTAAAAGGAAAAGGTTGGAGTAATGATCTTGAAGTTCTGTTTTACTAATTATTGCCTAACAAGTTCCTTTTTGTTTAATATTTTTTTTTTAAATTCAAGTCCCACATAGAGTTTGCATATAGGGAAATTGAGAGTCTTATACAGATTTCTAGGTATAGTGGGTTATTGGACATAAAGGAGAATGTTTAATTTGATTAGTGACATTCAATAGACAGTTCACTGCTGCTAATAATATTAGCTAGATTAATTAATTGTTCAAGGGTTATAGAGACAGAGAGAACACAATGAGCTATTTCTTTCATATTGCTCATCAATATTTGGACAGTCTTTTCTGAAATAGCCAAGTAAGTCTCATGGGTTGTTGTGAACTATTTTCCTGCTTACCTAGCATGTTTTGGTTTCTCTCTCTCTCCTGCTCTCTCTTAGTTTAAATTGAATTTTAGTTGTCTTTTCATAAAGGTATTATTGTAGTGAAAATCAGAACTATTTCTTACATGATAACCTACAGTGTCTGTATTTCTCCCTCCTCCAAGTGGGTTCTGATGCAGGGTAAGTCTTTCTCATATGTTCCAAGTTGGGTGTACCCGAAGCCTTTACCTGTAACAGGCCTTTTTAGCTTATTATTGTTGTAAAAAAAATATGGTAGCATGCTTATAGTCTCAGTCTTAAGTGATTATAATATTTCCAGTTTTGGGCTACCAAGATAAAATTTAGTACATGTTTTGACAATGATTAAGTTTATTATGAAAGTGAACATTTTTATTAAAGGACTTTATTTAAAATTTCATCTCCTTTTTAGAGGATGCTCCTCTCTAACCAACAATTTGACAACAGGTATTTTGGTTTGAACCGGCTACTTCTGTTCACATGGTTCCATCAATTTTGTCATCATTGCAGAAACATTTTCTTTTCTTTGTAGCTGAAATCAGAATTTGGAGTGTATCTGATCATCCTTGACACAGACCTTTCATGAGGGTGCTCACTATAATATGCTATCTCCAGATATCTATATAAAATAATAAGTGATCACTTACAATGCTATCTCTGTGCCAGCCTTTCTTTGGGGGAACGCATGTTACAATATTGAACCTCTCTGCCTTTTTAAAAGCCAACAAATAGAAATTTATTGAATAAAAAGCAAGATATCCACTTGAATATATGGAGAAGGTTTGCATTAACCCAAAGGGGTATGTTGTAGCAAGAAAGCAGCATAGATATTGCAATACTTTATTTTTAAATCTCATTCCACTATACCAATTATGTGACTATCAATCATTTCAGTTGAGTAACTTCTCTGATGGGGTACATTGGAATAAAGAAGATAGTGGACTAAGTTTACAAAACCTGACCCCACCATCAAAGTGTTTTTTTTTTTTTTAGAAGATTGATATAAATATGACAGCTCCATTATTTGTTTAAAATAATGTAGTATAATTAAAGCTTTTTTCACAATATGTCCTGGGAGAACTCCTTGTCTTTTTTCTCAAACTAAAACCATGCATTTAGCATTTTGCACAATGGTCAGAGTTAAATTGGATGAGGCATCTAAGGTTTTCAAATATGACCTTCTTGAGAAGATAGTTTGAGAAATTCTACTCTGGGAACACAGAGGTTATTGGTAAGAAGATAAATGGTTCAGACACTGAATGGATACATTTAAGCTTCCCCCATCAATCATGTTTCATTGAAGTCTCTCACCCTGAGAGGAGACTCATCTCAGTAGGACAGGAGAGGACTTCAACTTTTAGGCAAACTTCTAGGCAATGCAAAAGGCCTTGGAAATCAGGTGAGGCCATAGGTGTGGAGGGCAACACAGATATTTGATAATTTCTTTTTTCCTGCACATCAAGACTACAGGACTCAATTCCTGTGGTTTTCCACTAATGTAAAAGGTTTGTGGGTTTGGTGGAGTATTTTTAATAAATAAGGTTGACAATGGTAAAGAAAGATGCAAAATATCAGAAACAGTGCCACAGAAAAAGATACCAGACAGAGGAAATCCCAGTGGTCACCAGAGTCATCTGAACCTCCTCTAGTCCCTGAACCCAAGAAGCTCCAGAGCATCCCCTGGCAGGCTGGGTCACTGCTCAGCAGGGGCTGGGGTAGACCAGCAGGCTGCGGGGCTCTGTGAGCGCAGTGGAAGCTCTGAGAAGGCTGCAGCTCATAGGAGCCTGAGTGTGGCTCTCACCAAGCTGAGGGCTTAGATCACAGAGTCTGTTGCTAGCTGACTGCAAACAGAAAACATGCAACAAATGACCTAAGGACCCTCACCTCATCCCCTCTTCCATCAGGATGCATAAAGTTTCTTGGCAACATTCATTCTAAAGTTATTTGAGGAATAAACAAAAGAGGTTGAGGAGGCCAACCTAGAAAATGTCAAAACTCATATATACTTTTGAAAAATTGCTATTTAAATGATCAACTCTGATCCAGATTTGGTCAACTGTGTTTGCTTATAAAATTAACTCTCCACCAACTGTTAACCTAAATACTAATTACTCTCTAATTTGGATTCATAAACTGATATGGAATTCCAAACAAAATTAAAAGTAATATACTTAGGGACAAGTTGTATCTTCCTCATCCTAGAGAATACAAATGAAGGCACTTTGACAATGGCAAAGCATTATGTAACATGATTGCTGTTAATGCCCAGCAGCAAAAGCAACTAGGCTCAGACCTTCCTCAGAAGAGTCCATCCTCCCTACTGAATGATCTTGGATGCAGATAAATGCAGAGGATCCTGTGAAGATTTTCTTCAGTTCTCTTCAAGTCAATTTGCAGTTCAGCGCTGAGTAAGCCTCCTATGGGCAGAAAACCGTCAAGCGGGCCTCCCTGGTGGCACAAGGGATTAAGTCTCAGCACTATGAAGCAATCTGCAGCCACTGCAGCACAAGTTCAATCCCTGGCCAGGGAGATAACCTACATGGTGCAGCAGACCTCTCCTGCCTTGCCCACTGCTCTCCTCAGCAATGTGTTTCAGTCAACCCGACTGTTCTGCCTCCCACTCTGTCTCTGGTGAATCCTCTTACCCCCTGCACATCTGGTGTGTACCCCAGCTGTTGTATGCATAAATAAATAAATAAATAAATCTAAAAGAAAAAGAAACCCCTCAAGGTGAGTGATCATCTTCTTTTTCCACAGGGCTCATGGCTTCATCCTGCCAATAGGACACCTGACTCACCTTCTGTGGGAACCCAGATGACCCATAAAGAGGAACTAAAATCCTTTTTTATATCCAAGAGTATGCTACAAGTTTCAATACCAGTATTGAGGTATCTCAGGAACTTCTCAAAAACCATACAAAATACAAAAAAAGATTATTAAGAATACATATTAAAAATCTCTGGGTCAATGATAGCACAGCTGAGTTTCAGAAAGGAAGAAATGAAGTTAATTTATAATAAAGTAACTAGCTGGGTTTAAAGACAGAAAAATTATATAGCCCCAACTAGCTATTGCAATTATGTGAATAAAACATTCAATTTTATTAATTAAAAATTTAAAAATAAATTACCAGCTTAATTGGATATTTCAATATTTATTTAATTTTTCTCCCAGTTAACCAGTTGGAAGGCGCTTGGAATAATATCCAGATTAGCTAAAACAAAAAGAGCAAAATGTGTTTGCTCTGCACATCTCAGTTATGAGTTCAATTTGTCATCTTGCTACAGTTTTTAAAAATAATTTTAAAAGGAAAATGCCCAACTTAGTTATATTGAGGTAATGTATAAAATAATTAAGTCTACAGTTACAAAGCATATGAGGGCATTTGAGGCTCCCAGCACCCTCTTCTGGAATCACTGTTCTGGAATCACCCTGGTTCTGGAAACACTGCTGTTTCTGCTTGGGTGATGCTCCTCATTACTCATTTTACTGTGAAAATAAAATTGCTCTAAAAAAATTGAAATCTTTTAAAGTGACTTCTCTAGTACCTTCCCAAATTCTTCCAGGGATGGAAATGGCTATCACTGAACAAAGCATAAAATATGTCTTTTTTATCTTAAAATCTGATTTTTTTTTTAATTTCTTTTACCTATAACTCTTTGGAACACCTTTAGGCCATAACTCTGGTCACTAGAGAGCCCCCTCTTCCCTCCCTCCCTCCTCTCCTCATTATCTATCTCTGGGATGTAAATCAGCAATTTCTTTGCTCCTACAATAAAGTCTGATGTCAAATTACAAGGGCCAGCAGTAATTAAATCTATAAAAGATTGAGATATCATTAGTTAGTTTGGTGACAACAGCAAACCACAGAGTTCGTTGCTGCCTCTTTATACTCATTCAGTTTTTTCTCTCTCTCTGATCTAACAAGCTTCTCTTTTTAAAAATCTAACTACAACTTTGATAAATTTCCAAAGGTAATCTGAAACCTTTATTAAAATCTAAGTGAAAGCAGTCA